GTAGGCATCTAAAATTTAGTTTGTTTTTATTTATCTTGTCCTAACCGATATATCAGAGCATACTTAAAAATTCAACTTCGCACAATTCTATAGGGCCTTAGAATATGGACACAACTTAACCAAGAAGTAATTTTTTATTTTGTGAAACAGCCGAACGGAATCTTTATGCTCTCACAGGTCTCTGTACATCTGTATTACATTACATGCTATAATTGCTCCCATTGCTGTGAAAAAAAGTTTTGTTTATTCGAAAAATACACACACAGTGCAATCAATACCGACGGTTGGTGTTTGTTTTTGTCTGTTTCGAAGTTGGCAGAAACTCATCGATAGACCGAAGTGTCCTCAGTAGCAGCAATTCGGTGTTGTAAATATTTTTCAGACTACTGCAGCATCTCCAGCTTCGACTCCATGAAACACGCACATATGAGAATTTTGTTATTTTTATATGAAGAACGCTGTGGTGAATGTGGTGGCCACTTCCGTACATTCTTCTCCAAAAAATAATAATTTAATTACGTTAAAATGTGGTTTCATTTCCGAGATCGTGAACCTTTGTGCTATTCAAACCTAGATGTACTTTCCACCATGGGGAAGCAGCTGCTTGTTACACTACAATCAGCACTGGTTCAAATATCAATAAAGGATATCATCTCAGTTGAATTGTACATACACAATCAGTTATAAACGTTCAGCCAAAAAGCGCTCCTCCTCGAGTATTGAGACAATGCACCGTAGTTGCTAGATGTAGAGTAGAAAGCAGCTCACTAAACCCCTAGTTTGTGCCACTCACTTCCAATTATCCAATTTGAGCATAGAGCAACACGCTTGCCCTATTAGAGAATGTGCTCGGAGATATAGAACGATGGTGCAGGATAATCAGAGGGGCCGGAGCAAAGTTAGCTAGCTAATACTGATCAGTATTCACAATACTCACAGCGTATATGCGATTTGATACATATGCCCAACGTAGTTGTTAAATAATTATAAATTCGAAACAAGTCCCTAAGCATTAAATGTATGGTAAACCGATTTGTGCTCTGCGAAAGCATTAAAATATTTCAATTTGATGATAGCAAAATATAGTTTTCCCCCCACGTTGTTTTTTCAAGGTGAGGTTCTACATTTAAGGTCAAGTTCGTGAATCCTACTCGAAGTAGGCAACTTCCTCCGGCAGCAGCTAGTTGTAAAGTCTCTTTGCCTGCCACCACACGCTTCGCAAAACCTGACGGCTCAAGTCCAAACGAGTGGCCTTGTCGAAAACACCATCCCACAATTTGCCTTCAGGCAACCTTTCAGGTGGCCACACAAGAGGCCGCCCTGCAGGTACTCTTCGCGAAACCTTGATCCAATGCGAAGATGCGCGACCTTGACATAAATCGTCCTGCGCTTAGATATTTACCTCACATTTACCGTCGCATACAGTTTTTTTACTGTATGCGATACCTTTGTACGGGGATTGTCTCAAGGCTCATTTGCAATGAAACCGACGTAGTTGCGAGGACACCAACATGTCCTTTTAACATAAACATTACCGCTCCATTCATATTTACCGTGAACGTAAACGTGCGCACAGCCACTCATCAATATTTCGATACAGATATTCTGTATTCAATTGAACGTCAGCAAATAAGATAGACACGATCATACTAGGAAAACAATAGTTGATTACGCAAGTAGCGATGAGTGACTATATGGACCATTTCAAGAACAATAATGTTAATATGTGGTAATCTATGCTCTTACAAACAGTAACTTGCCTGACGAAAACGTTCTTTGATTTTGCCGCGGTTCACGAAAATGTGTTAGTTTTGAATCACGTTAACGGGAATGCGAAAGCTTGGAGTATCCAAACTTTCACGGTTGCATCTTATATTTATGTTTACGTTTACATTCACTATTCTGAATGGCTCCATCAAGGACATGGCGCCACGTTTTTGCTTTCACGAAATGGTTACGTTTGCGTTTTCTTGTGTACGGGCCCTTGAGGCATTCCCTAATTCACGGTTTTCCGGAGCGCGTGGTAGCGGACTGAAGGCGGATTAATGTTGCCGACCCCTGCCAAAAGTATCACTACTACTGCTATGGTCGGAGGAGAGCCTTCGATGGGTTTGGCAGCCGCTGCAGCAACCGTTGCCACAGGCGGCCCTAGTTCACTGCGGCATCAAGGGCCCAGCGGACGTGGGAGTCACTCACGATGTGGAGGCTGCTTCACAAAGAGAGCCTCTCCCGCAAACAGTTCCCTCGGACTGCCAACAGCACTTCGAGAACACACTCTGCGGAAATACTGCTCACTCAAACAGTCGATTAAAATTATTTCAAAACAGATTACTGTGTAATGCCTGTTATAATCAACTCATTATTTACTACGTGTCGAATAAAAACATTTTCAGTGTTGAGAATAGGAATGCCAATCTTCAAATTTCTACAATATTATTTCTTGTGTACTTTTAAAAGAACTATATAAAACTGCATGAAACTCACGTGACACTGAATTGCTTGATCAGAATATAGTGCTTCTAATGCCACTACAAACCGTACGCGAAATTAAGTTAAAAGCTACTTAGCTTCCGTATCCTCTTGATGGATTGTTTCCATGCCCTGCTCCAGTTGGTAAAAATTTTAAAAAAAGTTTTGAATGAGCTTTCTGGGTGTATATTGTGTTATAATTGTTGTCCTGTAAAAGCACATAATGCAATTAAAATGTTCCTGGCACGCTTCTACTTAGTAATTTAAAATAATTTGAGAAGCTAGTTTATCGATGGCGTCCTTGACATAATTACTAAACTTAAAATTACACGGACTAGCCGCCTAGTACTTGAGAATAGTGAGCTACCACTATATTTCTGTCAGCTGGTTGTACATCTTGACAAGTTCCCTTGAAGTTCCTTTTCAGCTTGTGTTATTGGGGGAAGTCGTAGAGTCACGAGGTTCTCCAATGATTCAGCATTCCTTATTTTCTCGGATACGACTTTGCTGAGGAGCCTGAAATAGGAATGCAGAAGAAAAAAAATCAGTTGACAGAAATTCCGAGAGAGACCCCACGACTGTGAAGAACGTCGGCACTCATTAATGCGATTAATAAGGGGACATCTCTCAAAGCGAGGTCAAGGATGATGTTTACAAAATATTTCATAAAGGGATTCCAGGGGCGTTTGAGACGTACGACGTACTGCATAACAAGGACTTTCCTTCGCGAGAACGCAAGTCATCGCACGCCAGGGCGCTCGGCGATGGAGTGTCGCTCGCCGCCCAGCTCGTCCCCCGCTCTTCATACCTCACCAACATGGCCGCGAACCGCTGCGCCCGCCTAAACCGACTCGCCCGCGTGTAATACGCTCATCTAAACGAGAGAGCAAAGGAGCCAGCCCCAGGCGGCGGGCGGAGGCAAAGGGGGCGTGTGCCGAACCTGTACGCCCCGACGCCATAAGAGGCGCCGCACTTGACCGCCGCGCGCGCGGCGCAGCCGCCGCCACACCACCACCTCCACTCCGCCTCCACGCCGTCGTGCGCCGTTCCGCCGCGCCACCCGTTCTCGGCGCCTCGCCTCGCCACGCGCAACGCCACGCACGCATCTCCACGTCTTGCCATGGCCACGCCACGGCTCGCTCGCAGCCTCTCTTGCCCCGCTCGCCTGCACACGCCACGCGCTCTGCGGATCGCGGCCAATCCAGGAGACCCTTTCCGAGAAGTGAGTATGCGCTACCTACTGATTTCTGCTCTACAGCAGGTGTCTTGTTCTTTCAAGTTTAGTTCTGCTTTTTTAATATGTTCTTCCGTTACTTGATTTGAGCTAACTCTGTGTGGTTTATCTTTAAAATTTTTCCTCGTTAATTTTAAAATTCGTCTATAATATATCTCCCGGAAGGACTCGGCCGTCGCCCGGCTGGGGTAAGGCGGCAAATTATTGACAGTATTCTATGCAGACGTTGTTGTTTTTTGGGGGGACTATACCCACTAACTATCTGGTTAACTATCTCTAGGAAGCACCAATGTCAATGTATCCCGTTGCTGTCCACTCATTCTCTGGCCTCGCTTAGAGGCCGTCGCATGTTGAATGCTCTGTGGCCCTAGCGGCGGCCCAAGCTGGGGTGCCCTAGGAGGGGAGCCGTGCGTGGGCCTCGTGGGCCCTAAGGAGGCCTTGAGAGGCGTGCAGCCGTGGAGGGACGCCGGAGGGGCGCCGGCGTCGGGTATAACCCCCGTCCCCACCGGCCGGGGCGCTGCCCGGTCCGCCGGCTTCCCGCCCGCGCCTCGCCCGCCGCTCGTCTGTGTTGTTCTCTCCCTAGCAGTCGACGGCGTCGCCAGGGAAGCCGCCGGGCGGCCGCCCCGCCCGCCATCGGTAGTGGCTAGTGGTAGATGTAGGGTAGGGTAGAATGTACCGAGCGCGGCTCTGGTTAAGCGAGCGGAGCGTGCCGGTCGGGTGGGCGGTAAGGCGGGTCGGGCGGGCCGAGCCGAGCCAGTAGGGGACAGCGCCGGCCCCGCCCCGCCCCGCCGCGCCTCGCCGCGCCCCGCCGCGCCGCGCCGCCGAGCGCTCGCTTCCATTGCATCAGCTGTGCAGTTGCCCCATTGGCCGTAGCAACTATTCCACTCCAGCCTCAATTATTCTTTTCATTTTCACTCTCAATATTTAAAATGTAAATATTTCGTCTCAATAATACTACAAGGCTTTGTTAACTTAACTGTCAAATTTTCTCTTTATTAAACACTTATGTTTTCAAATCAAATATTTAATTAGATTAAGTTTTCATAAAAACCTTAATCTAAATATTATTGTAAGTGTGTTCATTTGAATTTTGAAAAGAATCGTGTTGAGCTTCTGTGTGTAAAAAATGTCATAAACTTGATATCGTCTATATGTCCCTTCTTGTATTTGTTTATTTATTTTTTTAAATAGGTACAAAACAATAACTTGATGCCCTTTCTGCTGTTGGGTAGGATTGTGCTATTTGGGTCAGGCTGAGCAGTGCCGCTCTTGTTGATGCCCTGTTATGTTTTTGTAGAGCCACGAAGTCGGCATGAAAACGCTAGTGATGTTGGATGAACAAGGGGGTAAGGATCCATCGCACTGCTTCAGTATCTTACTCCGCATACAATCTCTACAGTCTCTTGTATTCAGAATATATCAATTTGCCACTGTGAACCCAGGAGAGGACGATGCCAATGGGCAGTGGCTTTCTGGATGCGCGAGCGCGAAACGCTCTTTGGGAGGCGATTTCAGAATCTCTCCGAAGCACTGAGACACACTTTATCGCTAGTCGATGATTTACAGATTCCAATCAGATGATGCAAACAAATCTGTCCAGTTCGGAAGATCCGAAAAACATAAGAGTAACATGACATTTCAGCGAGTTTTACGAGTCCTGCCAATATATTTCATTCTAAATTGTTAAATGAGTTCATCATACAACATTGAAGATGGGATTCTTTTCAATGAACCAATCGATCATTTCTCTTGCAATGATTCTTCTCTGTACGAGTCACAGGGGCAACTGAACTTGATGAAGTTCATCGGTGTGCATGAGGCAGCGCGTTGTAATTTGGTCAGTCGACATTTCCTCTCCGTAGATATTCTTCTACTGTGAAAGTGAAGCCAGAGATGTTGGCTAACCAGCAATGTGCTGCATCTTCTAGTGAGGTCGTATGGTAGGTAAAATGTGCCTTGAAATAGTACGGTCGGCCACTATTTCAGGCTGAGGGAGTAAGGAACAACTACCGGCCATGACCATTGCAGTCTTGTCGCCAAAGAGCGTCACGTTTTAAGAGAAGATCCCAGAGGTCCTGAATAATGAATCATGATTTCATCGTTACTTTAGTCAATTCTTAATAAAAAATAATGGAATATTTGTGTATTGAATTAAAATAAAGAATAAAAGTGAACTCTGGAGTCATTATTCATTTCCCAGCACTTCTGCGCGCTTCTAAAATGTGATATTGTTTGGCGACTCTTACGCAGTGCTTGTGGCTTCAAGTCCTGCTTTACCCCTCCATCCTGAAATAGTGAACGTCAAAAGAACTCGTGAACATATTGCTGTCCTGGCCACAAAGGGGAAGATACCGAATTTTGACACCGCCAAGAGCAAATTCCGTCCTTTTAGACACGGTTCACTGACGAAAAATGCTCCCCCTGATTCTTTGTACCTGTCCACTGCGATTGAGCATTTTCTTCTGAATCACCGAATGTACAACGTCCTGCGGAAGTTATTACACGAAATCTCAGGATGTTGATTTGTTTCTGCCTTACGACCCTGTTGGCTCAAGAGACTTTGCAAAAGAGAGGATGATATGATTACTGGCCACACGTTTGTGAGCTTTCTGAATCCTCTTCCGGATCGAAGGGCCCCAGCCGCAATCTTCAATTCGAAATGGACACCTTTTTCGCGGCAGGACGATTCCGTTGCCTCTGCCCTACGTGCCTGCTCCATGGGCATGGCGGTGTGTGTCTGCGCCTAGGAGACTTCTCAAACCGCCTCTGCCCCGCCGCTGCCCTTTAGCACCGCCCGTCTCTGCTAACGCTCCCCGCTGCTGTCCGCTGTTCGTCTTCTTTTATTCTGTCTTTTTCATGTGGAATCTCCCACTAAACAGTGTACTCTTGACACGACTCCCCATTACTCCAGTGACTTCATTTCATGTCTGTGCTGTGGGTTGCAACCGCTGGTACTGTGGCGACCTTCACACTACACGCCCGACATGGAGCAGTCTTCTCCACATCCACGCGGAG